ACCGCTGCAAACCTCGGAGAGAAAGCTGCCTTTGAGTTCCGACCAAAACCAGACAGTCCCGCTTCTCCCGTTTGAGTCTGTGCCCCTAAAGACTCTCCCGGATCTGGAGCTCAGAGTCTGCGACTCCCTCCCGATTGAAAACGCCAACCGCGCCCTCCGCCGCCCCCCGCTCTGCGCACTCCGCACCTCAGAATTTGACTTCAGCACTGCGCCTCCTCTGAGTGTCCGTATGCGTTACTCTTTCCTCCTAGTTGTAGGACTTCCACTCAGCCAGCGTTCCTGTGGGTCTGGGTGATGTCCGTTCCGTCTTTTAGTTTCACTTTTGAAGTGGTTGTTCGAGGCAGCAAACTCCGGCGTTAACCTATGCCGCCATCTTGGTTCTCTTCTCTATGTACATATTTTTTAATGTGAGTTGCAGCCTACTAATAAGATAAGATCTACCATTTGAACACACTGGTCTAGTTAATATCTTTGCTGTGCTAAGGATATATGAACTAAGCAGGTATAGGATTTCCACTTTAAGGGCATATTGATTAACTATGTTTATTTAAATTTTAACGAAGGATTCTGAAAATATAACCAAAGTGATTTGTTTCACCAACCTTCAGATATGCTGGCAAAATTGTGGTCACTTCTCACCGATACCCAAAGAAGTTTCCGAACAGGCCCCTGTTAGAGATGGATTCACCTCTACAAAGTCCTTGGGCTAAAGGGTGTATTATGCAATTACTTCTTGAAGTGCTGTTATTATAGACTCTTCTGTTCTCCTTCAGCTTTGGGACATCCGGAAGAAAGCAGCCATCCAGACATTTCAGAATACCTACCAGGTGTTAGCTGTGACCTTCAATGACACAAGCGATCAGATTATTTCGGGTGGAATAGACAATGATATCAAGGTATGTTTGGTGTTCATGTTACATTTCCCTTTCACTATCTTTACAGAGGAGAATCTTTTCAAACTTCTGAGATTGTGGTAGCTTGCACCTAATAACAATGAGAAGGAACTTATGAATTTAGACCTTTTCTTCTGTCCTATCTTCATTGAATTCCTAAGTCAAGGGTTGCTCCTATAAATGCATCTAACACAGTGGTTCTCAACCTTCTGGCCCTTTAAATACAGTTCCTCATGTTGTGACCCAACCATAAAATTATTTTCGTTGCTACTTCATAACTGTAATGTTGCTACTGTTATGAATCGTAATGTAAATATCTGATATGCAGGATGGTCTTAGGCGACCCCTGTGAAAGGGTCGTTCGACCGCCAAAGGGGTCGCAACCCACAGGTTGAGAACCGCTGATCTAACACTTGGTGCTTACTTTGTGTCAGGCATTGCTCTTAGTGCTTTATGTTATTAATTCATTTAATTGTCCGTTTTCTCACATTATTTTTGCCTAGGAATACTCTTCTACTTTGTTGAAGTAAAAAAGTATCTCTTCTTTCATACCTTGCCCAAGTGTTTGGGAACAGAGATTGTGTCTTTTTTTTTTTTCTTAATCAATTACCTTCCACTAATGAGATGCAAAATATTTTGCTTAAGCCTGGTTGGTGTGGCTCAGTGGTTGAGTGTCGACCCATGAACCAGGAGGTCACAGTTTGGTTCCTAATCAGGGCACATGCCCAGGTTGTGGGCTTGATCCCCAACAGTAGGGAGTGTGCAGGAGACAGCTGGTCAGTGATTCTCTCTCATCATTGATGTTTCTATCTCTCTCTCTCTCTTGCTCTCTCTCTCTCTCTCAATTCAATAAAAATATATATAAATATATATTTTTTTGCTTAAATTAGTGCCCTACTCACTCTTTCTGTGGCAAATCCTAATACATTTAGGCCTGCACGAGTATCATGTGCAGGCCCTAAGGGGGAAAGTCTGGAAATAGCTCTCAAGTGCTGTGAGAAATGGTGAATTGCATTCTCTCTTGGTTGTTATAAAGCTCAAGATTTCTGCAGTGCCTTCTCTGAAGAAGAAGAACAATAGCTTGAATAAAAAAGTGTCAGCCATTTTAAGTTTTCTTGATTATTGAGCCAACACACATCTTGACAAAAAAATGATTGTATATAAAGTATGTTGGCTTCCACACATGAATGAACTATTGATGGGGAAGTGGAGTTGTCTGCCTTGTGTATTGCTTTGACAACACCAAACTCATTTCTAGTTTATCTTAATATGTGACATTTCTAGATGAGGCACATGCCTTAGCTGCTAAAAGGGATAGCAGAATTTTTTTTAACGTAGAAAAACTACATGGCAATATTAAATCAATTTTAGAGGAAATTTTGTACAATATCAACGATTCTTTCTGTGTATGACATTCCAGACCATTTCTATTTTCTTTTATATATTTTCCCATCATTACAGTCTATGTAAATATAAATATTGTTTTGTATTCTTTATGTTTGCTTAATAGCTCGCATTTTTACATTTGGTCTTCAGAGTTATTTTTAGGAATAGCTTGATGATACCTACCAGTTACTGAGGGCCTTCTGTATGCTAGGCATATATATGCTAAGCATTTTTTTGTTTTATGTTGTTTTGTTTTTCTTAATCCTCACCTGGGGATATTTTTCCATTGATTTTTAGAGATAGTGGGAGGGAGGGAGAAAGACAGAGAGAAACATCTATGCGAGGGAGACACATCCATTGGTTGCTTTCTGCATGCACCAAGGCTGGTCCAGGGATCAAACCTGCACCTGAGGTATATGCCCTTGACCGGAATGTTTTGACGAGCCATAACTTAATAAACCATATTTTTTTTCTGTTTGACATTAAGATTCTTCCAACTGAAATGGTTCTCTTATCTTTCCTACACAGACATATTTATTCTTTTAATAAATATGCTTTTCGCCGAAACCGGTTTGGCTCAGTGGATAGAGTGTCGGCCTGCGGACTCAAGGGTCCCGGGTTCGATTCCAGTCAAGGGCATGTACCTG